ATAAAAGGCAGTGATCGGTGCTTTTCAGCTAGTCTGTTTAAACTTTCTCCTAAGCAAATTTACACAAGGTTTGTTTCTAATTCGACTTGTTTCCAGTTCATTTGTATTTTGATTTGTGCGAGCTAAACATCCAGTTCAGGAAAAATGGGAACGACAAGTACTATATGGTTGACGACATTATTTGCATCAGTATTGTATGTTTTCTTTTGTTTTTCCATATGGGACCAATATTAGTAGAGTTTTTTAGGTCAGCTCCTTATCGGTATGGTGATGCTAGTAGCATGATGGGCTATGGATCATACGGTAAGCTGCTAAATCCAATTCTACAAAAGGGACCATTTGGATTTATTTTTACAGGTTCTATGGGAGGAATGGGTGGTATGGGCGGTATGGGCGGTATGGGATCCCCATATGGGATGGCATCTCCATATGGAATGTACGGAATGGGAATGTGTGAGTCTTCAATAGTTAACTTTATGTGGTAGTTGCAGTCGGTTGCCTACTATATTCTTACTTTGGGGTTACGGTATGCTGTGCTTACTGTAAAATTACAATCCCATCCTAGTGTGACAGTCTTTGATTTCATTTCATGAACCATGACTTTTCAGTGCCTCATTTTTTGCAAATCCAAAGACAGTTGCTTTTTATGACATCGAATTTTCTGTTCGACACATGATCTACGATCACTTGTCATTATTTACCGTTGTTGAATGTCGTAAACAACCGCAAAGTACGTTGCAATCATCATTTTATCCCTTTTCGTTTCAGCACCCTATGGAATGGGAATGCCTGGTATGGGAATGGGTGGAATGAGTGGAATGGGTGGTTTAGGAGGATACGGTAAGTGAAGATTGCCTCAACTTCTCCATAAACAATTAGCACAACTTTTAGGCTCACCGTACTCACCCGGTGGTCTCTATGGCGGTGGTGGTCTCGGTAGCCTTGGCTCAGGCTTGGGCATGGGCCTCGGAACGAGCTCGTATTTCAAAAGATGATTTGTTGTTGTCATTTTTGAAATTGTCTTTCATCAAAGTGATCTTCTAATGTACATTTTTTATTTATTTGCATCAACTTGGGCAAGTAATAAATTTTCATTTATGTATCAAC